TAACATCTGTTTTAGGAAAAAACAACCAAACGCTAAAAGGTTTTCTTTTTCATTTTTCCTGTGTTTCCACTTATGCACATCTCCCACACTAGTATTAAACTAACTTTCTCCATAACACTTGCAGGTATCTATCTTCATTCTAAGTTTTCCTTCTCATCTGCCAGGAGGCTCTCTGGCATTGACAAAGTTTGCTTCAAGCCTTCTCTGCCTTTCCTTGGTTTGCTTATTTATATTTTCCCTGCCTGAAGTTGGACCTAACTATGGGACTTTCCACAACAGAGGCAGGAGTTTGGATAAGCCAGCAGTTTAAGCAGGTTTTATGACCAGCCATGTAATAAAATGCATTCAGGGTCACCCTAGAAACTTTAATCAGCACCAGGGGTCACTGGATAGCACTTTTAGACAGGAGAGGAAGAAATGAGGAACAGAGATTCAAAGGGGAGGAAAAAGAGTTGGGGGGAAGGGAATAGGTTCCAAGGTTCTCAAGTTATCAGAAATAACTTAGCAAAATCAGTGTGTTTTGCAATCAGAAATGGTAAAAGAGAGAGAGAGAGAGAGAGAGGGCCATAATTGTTCGTGGAAATGGAAGATCTGCTGCAAATTTAGATGAGAATTTTACCCAAAGACTTAATTTTTTTTCCCCTTGTGCAGTTTTGCATGAGAGTTTGGCCTTATGACTAGTCTCAGGATGGATATCAGATATCTCACCCTGAAGGGAGAAACATTCCCACCAAATCCTTCTACCCTGAAAGGGGGGGAAAATTTCTTCATCCAAAATCAGAGCCCAGGCAGACAAATTGGCACCACTTTTTTCATTCTCCAGATTCTATTTTATTTTCTGTGAGAAATAAGAGTGCAGACTTGAGTCACAATTCACAAATATTTGGTAGTATTATGTTGCAAGAAAGTGGGGGGAGTGCAGAAGAAGGTAATTCTTAAAAGCTTTGCCTTCACTCATGCAAACAAACTTTATGCTTTTCAATAAATCTCTTGTTTTATAAGTGGCCATTAAAATAACAGATCATTTGATTAAAATACTGTTTTCTTTTCACAACGGTCATGTGGAGTTTTGGGGACCTCCAAATGTGGTCTTGGCCATGATGTCATTAGCATTTTATTAATGCATACAAAAGGTTAAAAGCTCTTACATTTTATAGGGCTTTTTAAAGCAAACATTTGATTGTCTCTTGCATAAGCTGAACCTGAACCCATTAAAATGTGACAACTTCAAAACTGACCCTGTTTAAGAGTAAAAAGTTGATCAAGGATTTACCACATTTTTAATTGCCTTGAATTAAATGAAAACTGAACTGAGGCCAATATTTGGAAGTAGAAAGAATCAAATTCGGTCCAACATCTCTTGATATAATACTGATACATTTCAAATTGGGTATTTTCCCCTTTTACAGTTGAATAATTCTTTATTGCACAAAAATAGCTTATAGTTTGGAAGGCTTATTTTTCCCTCTCTAGTCCAGTCACAATGGAGTTTGTCATTAAAAGTAAAATGGAAAAAACATTTAAATATGTTTCAGGTGTCTGGGCCTTAAAAAATGCCCAGAGCAGCAACTGACAGTTTGCCTTTGTTGTTTATTGAATGGAAAAGCATCCATGACTGTTTAACTTTAGGATGATGTTATCACATTTTTGAAACTAAAGGCGTTTTGAGAATTACATAATAAACTCACACTAATAACAACCCCATGGTACTGGGGCATATGTGACCAGTTTGCTGTTTTCCATTTTGTCACAGTCTCATCACATACACTTTTATGTGATGTCCCCATGCCACTGAATGTCCAAAGAAAAAATTCCAGCCCTCCCTTCTTCCCCCAATTTACACACAAAATGAAGGAGTACGAGCGCCTCTCTAATTTTTTCCTATTCTTGTATCACTGCTCATGAAGAATTTTCTACGTCCCTTTATTATTTTATTCACTAATGTTTAGGGTAGCCGCATTTCTCATTCTCAGACATTCTGTGTCTTCAGCGCAGATTAGCCCTTTATTTCTTTATCCCTCCCAAATGAACTGCGAAAAGCCATCTCCTGAGTCTTTTTTCTTTTTTAATTGTTTCTACGTTCTGAGGCACTGTGGGAGGAGAAACATAACCACCTAACCACCGGGAGCCGATCAGCAGATAAGCTTGCATAACACACACTTAATTATACAAACAAGTCTTTCTGGAGAAAGTCTTCTGACAGTTACCTCCTGAAATAAATACACCTCGGTGACTGTCAATAGTAATAAAACCCACACAATCATTTCTTAAAGCTTTTATTGTTTGTCTGTAATTAGCATGTTGATGTGATTAAAGCTACATTTGACTTTTGATAAACCCCAGACTCCTATAGATACCGTTTCCATCAGTTCAAAGCCGCTTTCATTAGAAGCGATATTTATCTGATTTGTAACCAATCAATTGGAAATAAAACTTTCCTGTGGCATTCCTTTAAAACAACCAGCAGCAGCCCTCCTTTCCTCCAGCCCTCTTTCCAGGCCGTGTCCTTGAGTGAGATGGATTCCATATGGTTAGGAGGAGGGTGAGGAGGAGCAGGCATTGAAAAGGTAGAAAGAGCGGTTCTGTGGCGAGTCCTTTCAGACTCACGCCTTGTTTCTTCGTGCTGCGGCTGGAAAGCAGGACCTGCTGTAACCAATTTTCTTGAAAACTGCACTTTAGTGCGGCAGCAGAAAAGTTTGAAGTGCTGGATTTGTTAAGGCTACATTTGCGGTGTTTGCTCACCTCCATATTTTTAAGTTTATATTTGATTCTTTTATCAGACTCTTGATCTGCTTTTAATTTTATCCTTTCTATCCTTTCTCAGTTATTTCTCTCTCTATTTTCACCATTGTCATTTGACATTGCTTTTTTCCCCTTCTCTGATTCTTTCTTTTTTTCTTTCTGGCTTTGTGTTTTATGTTTGTTTTCTATAATAACAGATCCTTTGCAGTCACTTTAATTTGCCTTATTCAAAATTATGAAGCTTTTAATGTTGAAGATTTGATGAACAGAATTTCCAGAAGTTTATCTGATCCAGCAAATACGTACGAGGAGACCATCTGACATCCGCAGGTGCTGGAGGAATCCAGGGCTGCTGATAGCAACCTACGTTATCATTGTAGTGAACCTGTAGGGTATATCTGATTTTTTGTGTAGTTCAACCATTGCACAACTGTTTTATTTTTCTTCTCAACAGAATGAAGTGAAAAAATCAAAAGAGAGAAAGGCAATCTACTTTCAAAACCTGTATATATTATTCAGAGCGCTTCTTTCCTCTTACCCTCTATATTCCCTAAACATCTCATATTTTTAGAAATGAAATCAAGAAAGAAAAGTATTTTCTATAATGGAACAGTGTTGACATGAAAACCTTTATGGATTTCTAGCCATGCCTCATTAAAATCTGTCCTTAAATATATGGTAAACACCTGCATAAATGCCATGCTTTTTGGCATTTGGGGTTTTTTTTTTTTTTTTTTTTTTTGGTACTGGGGATCGAACTCAAGTCCTTGTGCTTGCAAGGCAAGTGGCAGAACCACTGAGCTAAATCCTTGGCCCATGGGGTTTTGAAATGCATGTACAAAAACACAATATTTTATTACTATTAAAATGAAAACATGACATCTGTGTCTGTGAAGCCATTTACACTAATCTGGATATGTTCAAAGACTTTCCATTTTTATTTAATTATATGGTTTCTCAATGCCCATTTCAAGTGTTTTGTTACACACTATAATTTATAACTTTATAGATAATCCCATAGAATTCCAACCTTATTTGGGATCATGCAGCACACATATGTCTTTGCACAGATATTTTAAGTGCATTGTCTTGAGAATGCTGATTCTTTCTAGTCTAAAATGACTTCAATTATGATAATATCTTGTAAATGAATGCCATCTCATGTATGTATGACCTAGGGGTAACTGTGCCTAAAAACTGAGGAAATGGGAAGGGGGGATTATTCCTTCAAAATGAATGACTGAAACAACAAGATTGGGTGTGACAAGTATGTCTCTGCTGGTCTGGGGTTTATGAATATGTCTGTACCCAGGAGAATTTCTAAGAATGCCAGGTGTGGGGAAAAGGTCTGCATGTGGCATACCATGTGCCTGTTGAAAGCAACTTTTATCAAGCAGTTTAAGCATTTCCTTTTCTACTTACTCTAGAAAACATTTAGAAATCATTAAAATTCTATCTTTAAAAAACTCAATCACAATGCTACTCTTCACATGCATTCCGTTATTTCTCCACTTCCTAATTAATATATTTTAACCTCCTTGACAAATATATTGTGCTACTGACACATAAAATATTTAGTCTCATCGTCTTGATTTTGGGTCCACTAATTTAAACTTGTTAATCATATATTTTTTGGATAAAAATTTCATTTCTGCTGAAAAAGTTAAGAATATCTTTAGCTGGAAATTTGGTTTGCATATATCAAGCATTTCAAGATGCATGTAATAAATACAGCAGAATATTCTGTGCTTGAGCAGGGCCTTTGAACTATACTCTGCATATAACTAAAGCCACAGAAACATATCTCAAATAACAGAAGGAAAAAAAATGGCTTACAGATTTATAATGAAAACATACTTTGCTAGTCTTATTCTTATAGGAGTTATCTGGATGAGTGAGCTCTGATAATATACTAAATAACTAAAGGTAGAGGTAGAATTCTGGCCTAAACAGACATTTTAATTAATGTTTACATGCCTGTATATATGTGTTATGTTTATGTAGATAAGGAAGATGCGTAGGTGTTTACAGCACCATGATTTACCAATTTTACATCTTTTTTTACAGCTTTTGAATCTTTTCTGAGCTGTTTGTTCAGAACAGCTACCATTATGTAACATTTCTCTTTCCACAGCGGCTAGAACATATACATACAAGTCACTGAAGAGAGCTACACAATGAAAAACTTCAGAATAAATGCTGAACAATCTAGCCAGGCTAGTTTGATTGTTTCCTTTTACAAAGCCAAAGGTTTGGGGGTTTGAAAAATCGAGGCATTGGCCTAGTGGTTCTAGCTCTGACCCGGGTGTTAGGTGTGATGTGGATACAGCCGCAGGTTCTTTGCCCTGTCTGCTGAGGGTTTGTTGTCATAGGCACGGGGCATTTCAAAAGTCCTCAGCGGAGTAGCCGCAAAGTGATTGAAGTGACTTTCTCCAGGCTGCAAAAGCAAAGAAGGGAAAGTTTTGAACAATTCTTGCAAACATTCCAGCCAGGTCGTTCCAATTCAGCTTTCTTAATAACCCTGAGATGATTTTCTGTCTCATCAGTCTTTGCACTTGTGGGTCATTTTCTTTCGTTTTGGTTCCTGTAGTTAGTATGATATTTTTAAAAATTCTATACACATTGGAGATTTTTATTTTACTCACAAGTCCCATGGACATCATCAAAAATGACTGGTTCTGTATTTCTTTTAAAAAGTGCTGGCAGAGCAAGAGAGAACCTCCTCCTTCAAGTGTGACCTGAAGACAGAATGGGCTTCGTACTTCACCTTTAATTCTTTCAAAATGCAGACTGTCTGTGAGCCTGTACACACCTAGGCAGGAAGAAGCAGTCTGGTTTCTACACTACCATCAGGGTACAAAGCTAATTCAAATGTGAGTAACTCTCCAACTGTTAGAAGAACTGACTTTGCCATTTCCCCTCTTACAAGATTTCAAGCTAATCTGAAGCACACATGAGCATATTCTGATGTGAAGTGGCCTTTCTGAAGTCTACTCACATACTGGTGGAAAAAGAAACAGCACCAGCTACAGTCCACGTTCAGCCAGAGGGAAAAACATGTGCCGTGACTCTGTGGTCCACTTCATACACAAAACGTTACTGTGAGCTCTTCAGAACTTACTACATCTTTGTGCAAAACCTATTTGCTTGCATTTAGACAAAAACACAACCATCTTCCTTTCAAGTCTGTGTGTGTGGCTGCGTGACTAGTATGATGGTATTTCTCATTTCTCCACAAATTGGAACATTGTGACATGGCCAGTTTTAAAAAAAGCGTTCCAATAAAACATAACATAATACTATAAATAAATGAATAGAATAACCTCTATTCTCTAGGCTTAAAAAATGAGTTTTGTTTTTTTTTAAAAAAAAACAAACTCTTAAGATCAAGTTGAAGGAGTCTTCCCGAGGAAGCCCTCCACAAGAAATGGCACTGGGTGTCTGTCCTCCACCACATCTCTGTGTGTGGACCTGCCAGGGGCTGTACTCTGGTCTTGGCAGTGTTGTGCGGTCACTGCAGAGCCCAGAAGAAAGAACACCAAAAGAGAAGTTTTAAAAGGAAAGAAATAAAAATGAAAGGGGTGGGGTGGGGGAGAAAAAAAAAAAAAGAACAAGTGCTCTCAGCTCCAACGGAAGCTATGCCAAGAAGCAACTAACTAAAAACAGACTGAACAGAGACAGAAATGAGGCAAGAATAAAATGGTTTGGAGTCAGGCTGACAAATGTATGAGAGAAAAATTCACGTGGTTTCAGAGCAGTACTTGGCATCTGCCTCAGAGATTTCTGTCTGTAGTATGTATGTAGTTTTAAATTTTTATTTCTGGAGGAGTATTTTTCAACTTCTTAGTGACAAGATAAGTTTCTTTTTCTTCTTTTAAATAGTGGAGAGAGCACCCTCACTTCCCTCTAGCCCCCAGATTCTCTCCTCTAACCTACTACAGGTTTTTTTTTGTTTTTTTCTGTAGCTGCACATTGAGGCCAGGTCCTCATTCATGTTAGGCAAGTACCCTAGCACCGACTTACATTCTCAGCCCTTATTGCAGTTTTAAAGCATTTTCTTGTAGTGGTGCTTGCAAATTACAGTACATATAATTTGTGGGAAAGGTACTTGTGAAAGAGCAGATCACAGCACTTGGGGAGGCTAAGGGAAGAGGATTGTAAGTTCAACCCAGCCTGGGCACCTTGGTAATTTAGCAAGACCCTGTCTCAAAATGAAATATAAAGTAACGAACTGTTCAAAAGGGCTGGGAACTTAGGTGAGTGTGAAAGCTCTGGGTTCAGGCCTTAGTGCTGAAGAAAAAAGTTTCCTGTGTAGCCTCATTAGATCACTTCGCAGGGTTTCTAACAAAATAAAGTACTAAAACCAAATGTCTGGGTCTACTCTTTTTCAGCTAGTTTCCTAACACTCCCCTTTTTCTTATTTAGCAAATTTTAACAACAGCAACAACAAAGTCACTGTTTCAAAAGAAGGCAGGGTGTGATGAGGGCCAATTTTGATTCTGCATACTTTGGTCCTCCAGCTGAGGTCTGCAAGCACTTGGCTTATTAGATCCAATCCGCCTGATGGCTTGTATGATAATGAGTGTCTGCAAGGCTTGCTTATGGTTAGGAATTTTTAATGCTGTCCTTGTGAACTCCACGGAAGCTTCTTGTTTGTAAACAGAGGCTTAACACTCTCTACTCACCCCATCCCAGGAACTGTGTGAGCTGGTGACAGACACCCAAAGAGAAAGCCCGCCATCGTGATGCTAATTTCACTACCACTTTGACCAGAAGTAATTATACGTGCGTATAATTTGTGAGAAAGCTTCTTCTACAAGATCAAAACATAAAGAAAAAACAAAATTATGTGTGGGGGGATGGGGGAGTGGTTTGGGGGATTAAACCAGAGACCTCTGTGCTGAGTTGTATCTCCAGTCCTTTTTGTATACACTATTTTATTTTGAGACAGGGCTTCGCCAAGTCACTGTCAAGACTATTTACAGAGGCTGGGTGTGAATTTGCCACCCTCCCAGAGTGCCGGGATTACAGGCATGCACCACCACCACACCTGAGGCTGAAAAATATGTTTTCCCCCAAGGTTCTGGGGATGGGACCCAGGGTCTCCTGAAAGCTAGGCGAGTGCTTTACCACAGAGCTGCACCTCCAGGCCCAGAAGCTTGTTTAAACTAAATCAAGCACCTTTTAGGTAAGGGATACAAATGCAGTTAGAACTGGACTGTTTCCCTCTGCCTTGCTATCAAAGCCCTGGGAGTTTGAACTGCTCTGAAAGCCAGGGCGACAGTGTGGATATTCTTATTTGGACTTCTCCCTGTAAAGCTATGAAAGACCAGACTTGATGAAGCACAGATCCTTAGTCAGAGACTTTTCTTCTGTCCTGTGATAGACATGTTCTAAAGGCACTAACAGGGACTGGGCAGAAGACTGACAGGAACTGCTGTCCAGAGGGCAGCATTCAAGCCTCTGCTTTCTGTGCTGCTCCCTTGCCATCCCATTCTGCTTCCTGCTCCAGCCTTAACCAGCTCAGGTCAAGACAGAAACAGAGGAAAGTTACTCTGGAAACATGTAGATGCCCCCCCACCCGTGAACTACTGTTCTTGCCTCCGGAACATCTGTATAACATCTGCATTAGCAAAGCCTTTGAGAGAAGAAGTCCTGTGAAACACACATTCTGTCCAATGTGTCCCCATTTCCAGTATTTTTTATATCAGAAATAATCTCCTCAGTGGGGTCGAGCTTGCAGTAGTATGGTAAGAAGACAAAGTCCAAACGAATGCAGTGTTGTGGAGAACAGTGATGATCTGTTGGCACTGCACTGGCCCCTTCTCTGGGGCAGAGAGTGGTGGCTGAGGGACACGCATTTTAACCACAGTCAAATGAGCCACCGTAATGCTTACATTTTAGTGTTGACTGAAATACTCTTGCTGTTAGTTTATGCACTTCACTGAGATTTCCAGACAAGTGAAAGTAGAAGCTGGCCACTTGAACATAGTAGAAGTAGCATGAGCTTTAAAGCCAGCTCTGGATTCACATGTGAACTGTACACTAAATATTAGTGGTGACCTTTGACCTCCCACAATCTCAATATCTTTACACCTAAAATGAACACTATATTTAGAGTCGTTTAAGATAAGATACAAAAAGTGCTTGGTCCATTAAAACAAAACAAAAATAAAATTCTATACTCAGTAAAATCTAGTTCTCCCCTCTTCCCTGTGATATAGACAGAATGGCAAACTATTTTGTGTCAAATCATTCTAAAAACTAGTTATCAGCTCTCTAGTGACGATCTTTCTGCACCATTACTAGATTTATATGCTCACAACAGAGTCATATAGTTGTAGAAGTTATAGAAGAAAATATGAACAACTTAAATGCTGAATATATTCTGACATTTACCTTTACTACCATAAATATCCATAGACAATTTACTGTTTTAAAAATAATAATCATAATGTACCTTTTGTAACATTATGTTAAGAGCTGCAGATAAATTATTTCATTTATCCCTCCTATCAATTTTATGAAAAATTATTGTTGTTTCAATTTTGCAAATGGGGAAACTAAGGCCTAAAATGGTTTTTAAAATTGGTATTATACAAATAATGGCAATAAGGTTCAACTCCAGATCTGTTAGGCTAAATCCCGAGCCCATAAATACTGTGCACATTATGTTATCCTAATTACAGACCATAAATAGGATCTAAGTAACATCACTGCAAACAACCATTAAAATGCTTAAATCTCTAATGACACAAAATTCACTTTTCCAAATTGTCCATCTAACTCATTCCATGTTTTGGGAGTTTTCCTACTGTTTTTGACTTTTAATGTCATCGCAAAGCTCAAAGGGGACAATTAAACAGCTGTATGGAACAAAGCTGTGTTGTAAAATAGAATTAAAAGGTTAAATTACCGAATGGGCCATTCACTATTACTTTTTCCTTGTTGGAAAATTTGCTTGGCTGACAGTTTAGAACTACTATATGTGGCTATTAAGGACTTGAAATGTGGCTTTTCTGCATTGAAATGTACAAAACATACACTGGATTGCAGGGACAGTACCAAAGAAACCAAAAATGTAAAATACATCAATTAATTGACTACATATTAAAATGATAACAATTTGGATATAGGTTAAATGCATTTTTAAATTGCTTTTTTCTGTTTATCTTTACTTTTTAAATGTGGCTATTAGAAAATATTAAATTATATATGTGGCCGCATCTCAGCTTGCATTTTATTTCTGTCAGACAACACTGATTTGGAACCTTGAAAGTGAAGTGTGTCAGTTCCACACCTTGCCCCCTGTAGTCCTAAAGAAAAGAAAGGAAATAGGTATTTAGCTGCCCTTCTATTCTAGTTTAGTACTTTGGCCTCAATGTACTTTGCATGCATTGAACAGTTCTTCTCTTCTGGCCTGTGGTTAGTACTGAAGTGAATATCCCTAAATCACTATTTTTAAGATTCATGAGAATTATTTCTTTAATTACCAGAGAAAATATTTCTTTTGGAATTGTAGGTGAACGCATGGCCTTGTCCAGCATAGGAAAAATTCAGGCATTTCCTCTCAGTTTTGCTTAGTGTGGTGGGTAGATATGGAAGGGAGATGTGGAACAGGGGCAAGTAGGGGGATTTATTAAACAGACTCAGGCCCAAGGCTGCGTGGGTACCACCCTGCACAGCTGTAATGAGAATAAATGTCTTTCGCAATCCTGGACTCTCCTTCTGAGCACAACAGAACATTATTCAGAGTAGCCAACCATGCTGAAGACCCGAGTTAGCCCTGATTTCTAAGCTTTGAGAAATCAAATGACATTCCCAAGCACCCCACCTAGGAATGGTTTGTTCAGGTCTCAGAGCAGGGGCAACAGCTGATTTCCATCTTGGAGGAAGGTACTGTTTCCGCCAGCCTCCCTGCCTGAGATCACAGCTGAGCCATATTTAGCCCCTAAAGTACATGTTTTAGTGCCTTACTCTTTTTAACTGGCATATGTTAAGCGCTTTGAATTAACAGGTGCATAAAAACTGTCAAAAAACAAGACTGTCAGTTGTATTAAAAAATATGGCATTACATAACCACGTACTCTCAACACGTCGGCATGTTGGAGCTTGAAAAGTCCTTCTTCCCTCCAAGCAACCCAGCAATGCTAATCCATTCCATGAAACAAAAGTCCATGGTCCTTTACTTGCACTGCAGAATCGGATTATGTATGCATGCAAGGGATAGCAGTAGATCAGAATCATACCAGGGAAAGTTTTCCTTCTCAACTGAATCCTTCTTTTAAGTTTTTGACATGGTTAACCAAGCTAAAAGAAGGGAAAAGCACTCCCAGGGTCCTGTAAAGCCCACCTGAAGGCTGTTCCTTTCAAGGAAAATAAAATTTTTTGAGACAAGATCTCACTATGTAGTTCAGGCCAGTCTTGAATTCACTGTGTAGTCCAGACTAGCCTTGAACCCATAGCGATACTCCTGCCTCAGCCTCTCTCAAGTGCTGGGATTAAAGGCATGTGCCACAATAGCCAGCAAGGAATATAAACAATTTATCATATCAATTGGTGACATTAAAAGTAGCACAAGGTGACAGAAAAAGAAAATGTGTTGCTTAAAGCTAGGTGAGGTAAATCTTGGAAACAGCCTGTATGCTCATCAACAGATAAATAGGTAAAGAAAATGTATTTATACACAATAGAGTACTAATGTGCCACAAAAAAAGGATAAAAGTGAGTCATTGGTAAGAAAATGAATGCACCTTGACATAATAATATTTAGTAAAATAAAGCAGATACACAATCTTAAATATTGTATGGTTTCTCTTATATGAGAAACCAGAGTATAGATAATGTAAAGAGCAAAATAAAACACAGATAATAGGAAACAGGGAGACAGATCTTTTACAAATAAAAGGGGACCAAGAAGTGGAGGGAGAGGGCATGAAGGGAAAGGAAGGGGAAATAAAAAGAATTAACACGAGTATGTACGTATACCAACTCCCCACCGTGCATGTAATGCTTATGTACTATAAAAATGTACTAATATTTGTTTTTAATTTTTAAAAAATTTTAAAAGGGACACTCATGTTTCAGATTAGTTCTCATAACTTGGACTAGCCTCTGGTGAGCTGTATATGTTAATGTGTGGGAATAAAATGCATAATGCAGATTTAAAAAGCTATGTGAATTGTATCAGTTTGAAGTGAATATATGTAAGATATGACTTAGATAACATAAGTAGAATCAAGTATGATCCAGTTAAAGAAGAGGATAAATCATGTTTGCTTCCGTGATTTTGAGTGCCTGTACTACATCTTTAAGTATAGTAGATAGGTATTACTATAGTTGGGATGGGGAGACCTAGCATTTCTGACTTTAGTACTTTCTTGCATATAACATGCACCATAAAAGCATTTGGTGAAGTCAAACTAAAAGTTTGGTTACAACCTTATTTTATGGTACTGTTTCAGACTCAGCACTGAGTCCTTGTCAGTTACTTTTTTGTTTATTTTTTGAGACAGGGTCCCCCTATGTAGTTGAGGCTGACCTGGATGGTCTTGAACTCACAGCGATCAGCGCCACCATGCCCAGCTTGTCAGTTACTTTTTTCTCATTGCTGAGACAAAATATCCAACACCCAAAGTTAAAAGGGAAGACCTGTATTTGGCTTATAGTTCCTAGAGGTTTCAGTCCATAAACAGCTGGCTTCAAAGCAGGGTGGCAGAGGGGCAGCAGTTAGTTCATGGTGGTGGAAGATACAAAAAACAACAAAGGACCTTATGGCAGAGGGGCACCACAGAGGAGAAACAGTTTATGGCGCCCACACCGTAGCAAAAGTAACAAGGGACTTTCAACAGTGTGTTTCTGTTCCTTTTATCTTATTCAGACTACTGGGATTAAGGGGCTCCAAACCAATCATTCAATGTAGTGGTTTAGTAATCACATGCCCTTAACCCGAGCATCACACACTCTAGATTCACCTACCTCAGAAAAAGACCCACCTACGATGCAGGAGGTTTTGGGAGGACATCAAGACACAAGCCATAACAGTCCTAATCTATGAAATAGCAGGACGACCATGGTCAAGTTAGTTACTTTTTCCTAAGCCTTGATTACTATTTAAAATGTAACGTGGAGGTGGAAGGGGTCGGACAACTGAAAGAGACTCACCATGCATCTTAGTTCCCAAAAGAGTAAAATTCTATGACTCATGAAAAACTTTCAGGAATAAGTTTCACTTCTGGATATCCCTATGTAGAATACTAAAGCTACTGTACTGAAATTATGAAGAAGGTTGTTTTTATTTCTTGTTTGGTTTTGTGAAATGATATTTAGAGTGTTGGATTTTTTTAAAAATTTGCATTCTGGACCCTAAAGGTTCAGACCCATAGTCAAGTTTTCTGAGAAGTAGACTCTGAAACAGAGATATGTGTGCATGCGTACTCACTGAGCAGTGTGTCTGAGAACAACTTCTATAAGCAGGCAGACAACTTGGGCTGCACTCACACAAAGGCCTCGAACATTCCTTGGAGAGTTCTAGTCGGTCCTTCCAGCTGAGGAAAAGGGAACGCTCTATCTTCCCAACTGTTAGTCTTTGTTGCAGGCTGCCCTCTAGGAAGGAAAACTACTCTGGGCAAGGCTACTCTCCGTAGCCAAGGAAACTTCTGGAAAGAATCACCAGAGCCTTTAGCAGCCAACATTTCCCCAAACTAGGGTAGGGGTAATCAGTGGGAGAGGGTCTGCGGGGTAGCTTACCATGCACCACTGCCACATCTGTTACAAAGCAAACACAGGATCTGTTCTGATGGCTCTTGTACCTTCTCTTACACCAGATGTGTGACCTTAGACAACATGACTTAATTGTTGCCACTTTAAACCCATACTCTGAGCATTCCTAATTCAGAGATAACACAACAAAGCAGTTATGATGACTCAAGAAGTATTTTTAGCCATCCAGTAGAGTGTGATGTATAGTGGGCTCTTCATAAATATTTCACCTTCTTCTCTTACCAAATAATCCTTCTTCATATCTAAGTTTCAAACAAAATGGAAGAGAAGGTCCAAAGGGGAAGGGGAATTAGGAGCGGCAGAGGAAAGGAAAAAAGAGAAAGGAGTAAATATGAAAGAAGGGAACCAAAGTCTTTGCAGCTATGGAAGGGTGGAGGGGTTGAAGGGAGGGCAGGAGAATGGGGAGGAAAAGAAGAACCAAGACACATCATGTAAAGGAACAAATTCCCAATGATGAATGTCATCATATTGTATACCTAAAATGTACCGATAAAATTCATGAATAAAAGGAGAGGGAATATGCAACATACCGGTTGTCCTTGAAGTTAGTCCACAGATGAAAATGTTTTCTTGTTGTACACTGCCTAGTTCTCTCTCTGAGGGCTGATATTTTAGGCTGGGCTGTGTTTTCTGTCCCTTGATGGATGTACTTCCCTGTCAGAAAAATAGGTACTGAAAGAACGCAATCTCTCTCCACTCCACCAACGCTTCACCCCATCTTTAACCCTGTTCCCAGCTCTGCTATTACTCAGTAATTAAAGTTACTATAGCAGGGGCTGAGACTGGAGGTCTTCTCCACAGGCTGCTTCTACCCTCCTTATGTGTTAATTCAAAGGGCCATCGTTAAGTATCCTGCAAAGTTTCTCTGACATTATTATGTCAGACAAGACATGCGTGGGATACAGGGGAGGTAGGCAGATGCATTTAGTTATTTTAGGCCTTTCTAAATATGAACCCAAGCTAAAAAAAACAGTTTGCACAACCACCATGAAGGTGCTTTCCTATCAGAGGTGTTATTTTGTTAATTTTTAATATTTTGTTTATATATCGCATAATATCCCTATTATCCCTATTTATTATATATTATTACCATTACATTATGCTATTATTACCAGGAGATGTTGTTGCTGTTGTCTGATCCTGATTGAATGGCAACAAGAAGTCAGTTCCTATACTGGAATGGAGGGGAAGGAGATTTTGCCCAAGGAATCATGTTCTAAGAAAGATCAGAGACTACGGGTTACACCTGCTGCACATTCCTCCCTGGATGCCCTGCCTTGTGGACTTGTGTGCAGTTTTAATGCGCAAGTCCCCAATCAAAGCTTGCTCCTCCTTTTAACTTCTTCTCCCCTCCTTCCTTCCTTTGCACACAGACGTCTTCCTTTGCTTCTCCCCATCTCAGCATCAGCCAGTGCCGTGCAGTTTCATAAATCCCAATCACGTTGGTAAATATTTCTATTTTTGAAAAGCTGGAGAACAGTTGTTCTCTAGGAAGTGGAAGGGTCAAATTCTGGAAGGAAATTGCTGAAAAGGCACCAGGCTGTGGCACTGGCAAAATCGTTAGCTGCGAGGCAATTTTATCTTGAATAGGGAAGAAGAAGATCTTTTTCTCCAAATACTACAATAAAATAAACTTTGCCAGTCCACTAGAAACTTAAAATAGAAAAGAAAATTGCTTGAGCTCTTATCATGGGGAATTTAAAACCATAACAATAAAACAAACCAAAAAGACCCAAACAAAAACGGCTTTCATTCCACTGTGTAAGCCCTCAGGGTGGATGGGTTTTATTTTAGCTTATTTAGGCTTTCATTCTACCTCTCTTAGAAGGAGCTTGGGCCTACTTTGGAAGTGGAAATGAGCTTTTCTTGGTTGTTTATATTAGCAGTTTTTAGTGTGTCATCTTGATTATTATATAAGACACAGGCACTTCTTTATCATTTTAAAAATAGCGAGTCCTTGATAAAGACTGCTCAGTTAAAGCTGTTTGCTTATGCTGGGTGTGGTGGTGTATGTTGTATTCCCAGCACTCTAGAAGCTGAGGCAGGAAGATCATGGGATAAAAGCCAGTAAGGACTACATAGTGAGACTTGTCTTCCAAAAATCAAACTGAAAAGATAACAAAAAAACCTGTTCATGTGAGCACTTGAGGGATGTTTTGTTTTGGTAAGAACTGTGGCTTCATTATTCATACCTGCTATTTAGTCAAAATTTCATGGACTGTATTTAGCACAAATGTGAAAAAAGAAAAAAAACACTCAAATGTTAAGCCAAATTATGGAGGATAGCAGGATTTTGAGTGACCATCAAGGAGGGTGGGAGCGGGGTGGAGGTATGAAGAGACGGGCTTGGTGGTGACTGGCACAACCTAAGCTCCTTGTGAGCTTACCATAGAACCCTTCATGTTTTGCCACACCCTACTGATTCAGCTTGGCCTTGGGGCTCCCCTGCCACCTGTAGGATGAGCAGTCTCTCCCTCCATCAATGCCAAGTCCTGCCCTACGCTGACCGCCATGTGCCCCGAGTGGCTGTCTCCGCTCATCACTTTCAGACTTGCAGACACCACAATATGCATACTATGTTCTGATGTCCTAGCAGCCACTGAGCGGATGTAATCAGGATGCAAACTTCTACCCGTGGAAGAAAGAACGGAGGGGCAGGAGCTGTCCAGACAAAAGTCCTCTTCTTCCTCACACACATTAACCACTCTAAAGCACCATTTTCTTCTTTTCCTCCTCTTCCTTCTCCTTCTTTTTCTTGTCTTCCTACTCCTTCTCCCTCTTCGCCATCCCAATGCTGAGGATCACACCCAGGCATCTGTGCATGTTAGGTCAGTGCTCTACCACTGAGCCACACCCCTAGCCCAAGTACCATTTCTTTTTTTTTTAATTTTTATTGAGTTTATTGGTACAGTCTAGGTATACAGTACAGTTACATTCATTATTGGGATCCTGTACCTTTACATGATAGGTCTTGATTCTCATTTTTTCCCCTTGTCCCTGCCCTCCTTTCATCCCCTCCTCCCTTTCCCATTTACAAACACTTTATTTTCATTTTTTCAGTTTCTCATATTTTTTTCCTCTCCCTTATTACCTTTCCCCCACCCTTCCCACTTTCCCTACACCTTTAGCCCTTTACTTCCTATTTCACATTATCAATTATCTCATTAGGATCTTGTGTACCATTATAGTTTATTCACACCAGAGAAACTATTTGGTATTTCAGTTAAAGAAATCTCTATATGAACATTAAAAATAGGGAATCCTAAAATAAAACTAAAAAGGAAAGTAAAAGAGAAAAGGCAGTGATGTAAATTTAAAATAATCCTTAATTCTGAAGATGAAAATGGTCCTTGAACATATTTAAGTTGCTTCTTAATGTAGCCTTTCTGCAGAAGTTCCCACTGACCATATCTGCTTTGTGCCCAGCAGGAGCTGAAAGATTGTTGTCAATTTCTTTACTTCCTCACTTCCTTTTTCACTCTACCAAACCTTTCAGGTTAAACATTAGCAGTTAAATCATTGCCTCAGTATGTAAATGAAGTCAGTGTGTCAAAGGCACATTTGCAGAGTTCCCATGTTTAGTATTGTCAATTAAAAATTAAATAAACAAGCTGGGTGTGGTGGTGCATGCCTGTAATCCCAGCACTCAGGAGGCTGAGGCAGGAGGATCACTGTTAGTTCAAGACCAGCCTGGACTACATAGTGAGTTCCAGGTCAGCCTCAACTACACAGAGAGAACCTGTCTCAAAAAATCCTCAAAAACAAAAAAACAACCCCCCCAAATTAAATAAACAGGGGGCTTGGGGTGTCACTCAGTGGTAAGAGTGTATAAACACACATACAGGCGGTTTTTAAAAACAAAATTTAGTTTGAATAAAAAAACATATAGAGCTTTATTGGGTATACAACAGGGCTCTATCTACCTCTTCATCAACGAGATCACTCCCACCTTCATCCACTGTGAGCTAATAAATGCCACAAGGGAGTTTGGAACAATGCAGAGGTGGTGCCAAAAAGAAAGTTTCAGAAGACAGCAGTGTGCACCAGGAAGAAAAGCACCAAAGGAGGAATCAGGACACGGGAGTCTTTGAGAAATTTCTTAACCTCTGATTCTTCATCAACTCAAGTAAAAATATGTAAATTGTGATAGCAGTTGCTTTACCAATCTTAACTGGTTGTCAGAACATCTAATGAAATCGGTACTTGAGAATTCTGAAGTTCTATTTGGCCTTCAAGTGTTATGATCCATAGACCAATCCGTTTAGTAACACAAGTGTGGGGTCCAGTCCTAAGTACCCTACATCAGGACTGCATAATCTGGGATAGGTGAGTTCATCTTTCTGAACCCCTATCATACATTTTAAAATGTAACTAATTCTACATGTTAGAGTCGGAGTAACAATAAAAGGACTTCATGTTGCCAGATACAGCATTAAACACTTGGCTTATATAAGTTTTGTTTTTAAATGTGATCATTTTACATGAGCAGGCATTTGTGGAGGATTTCAACTCTAGCGTTTGAGAAGTTGAACACTATCATTTATTGCTAAAACAAATGGAAACTTTGATGAATTATCTAAAATACATAATACAAAGTAAATCAGTCCCCTGACCATGAGGCCATCATCTGCTTTCTCACTGGTGATGAGACCCAGGAGAACGCACACAATTCCCACTCGTTCAAACATAATCATTGTTTTTCATCTGTTTTCAGAATTTGGCAACTAATATTTGCAGTAGTGGAGTATACACAGTATTAAAAGTATAAACCGATAAATAAAGAAATAAATAAAAGAGCATAAACCAAGTGAAAAAGTAAATTACCTGTGATGAATGATAAATGTTTGCAAATGGCAGAGAACATAAGACCAGACAATTTAATCAGCTTTTCCCCAAGACCATTGGATTTGATGGACAAGAGACCTCAAGTCAGACCAATTCAGCAAGATCTTCAAAAAGGCAAAACAACCCTGCTGTCTTTTTCAGTGGTGTTTCTGAGGGGACTTGAAGAAGAAAGGTGTTTATTTGCTAACGGGAGTACAGCAGTAATTCAAAAGAATAACACAAACATGAAGATGTATACCAAGGTCAAAATCCTGGGTCACATTAAAAACAACCATGAGGATTTTCCACAGGTAGAGAGGAGCCACCTGAAAAGATAAGGGACTAGAAACCTTCACTGGCTGAAGAGGAGAATGACGCGCCCAGTCCAGCTAAGTAGCTTACATGTGTAGTGGAAGCACCTGAGGGCGGAAGAGTGGCCAAACAGCGGCCAGGGGTCAGCTAATTTGAATTCCTGGGATGTCCATTCCCTGCGATCTGTGACAACTTCTCCCAAGTCCACTCAGGATTCTGCTCTGCCCAACCTCCTGGCCAAAGCCATGCAGTCATCTTTTTCCTGTGCTCTGCTTTTCTCCTGTGCTCTGTGTCATCCTAGACTCTTCCTTTCTCTTTTGGTTTTAGGAGAACTTTTTTGTCCCCCCCATCATCTTTTTTTTTTTTTTGATTGGAAAAATGCAAATAGGGAAAAAACAAGAATGGATGGAAAGCAGTTAGGGTCATAAGACCTACCCATAGTCATAAGTGCCTCATTAGGACTTATTTATGTTTGGCCAACATAGAAAATGTTTTTACCAAAACAACCCAGCCCTAATTCATAGAGCTGCAGTCTTTCACTCTCAATCTGATTTAAGCTACTAACATGATTTAAACTCTGTAACTCACACATTGCCCAGGGCAAGAATTTAAAGTGAGAATCAAGTTTTAAGTCGTTTACAAAATATACTTTCTCACCCTGCCACTTCTCCAGTTACCAAATCGTTTCCAATCTGCCTGGACCTTCTGGGGCTGATGCATAAATCAGGATAAATGTGGGTGGAAATGGCTTCCTTTTCTTCAAAGCAGTATGTATCCACCTCAGTTGAGCACCAGAAACCCATAATGTGTGTGCAGTTCCCATTACACCAAGGGGAAGCCTGTTCTAACGGCTTCAAACGCTCTCAGGTGTATGGCGTTACAAACACTGCTATGGAGAAAGTGACTTTTAAAACCCGGAGAAAGCCCTGGGCTGAAATCAAGAAGGGATCATCTGGTCTTTGAGCTCTCCTTTCTTATTCTGATAGATACAGGGAGAAGACATCAGTGGGATGGTACATTGGCGTGAACTCTGAAGAAAAGACTCTATCTAAGATGTCTGACCTTAAACACTGTGCTCCA